TCAATCCCAGTCTGTCATTGCTCAAGTTGATCCAGATCGCGAGGTGCTTGCTGCCCATCAACTTATTCCTGAACACATATCTCGTCTATTACCCAAACGAACACTCTACCAGAATTATACCTATGGTGACTCGTCGGACCTTATATTCGGATTCTCCTTGTTGGACTACGCGGCCGCACGAAATCTAGAGGAAGGTGGTGTGCCTGGGCTAGTCGCCAAGGCTGTCCGAGCTATCGACGAACGAGGTGAGTCGGGATGGCCTTGCGTCTGAAAAAAAGACTGAATCGGTGTGCACCAAAGGTCTGGACTCGGAGGGCATATACCGTGTAAGATAGAAGCTAGAACTTTTTGTTTGATTGCTTACGTTTTTGGGGCACGCAGATCTCTGGACGACAGGCGATTGTGCAGGATGTGAGTTGGACTTGGCTTCTTTAAGCCTCGTAGACTTACACATACCATTTATAGCTTATTCACCGCATCGAAAAGGACGAGGCACAGTTCGAGTTTGAAAAGACCACGGACGTGTATTGCATTGGCTCAATGCTAAAGGTGCGTGTTAAAATCTGACACGCACAAGTAACCGAGTTTGAGGTATCATTTCAGCGATACCTTCGTGAATTGCCCGAGCCGTTGTTCCGATTCCCATTGGCTGAGCGAATTCAGCACTCTGCTGGTCGAAGTATGTCTGTTGCCAGATACCTTATTTCGTAGCTAACTCGCACGCAGATGACCATGTGAAGAATGGTTTTATGGTACTTCGTGGCAGGTTACGAAGGCTGCCAGGTGTCCATCAAGCGACTGTGCGAGTGCTCGTGGAGCACCTAGCACGGGTTGCGGCAAGGGCACCAAAGAACAAGTATGTTTTAGGCTTCCGATTGCAAAACTTGCTCAACACAATGTCTATAGAATGGATCCACGTAACCTTGCGATCGTATTTGGCTCGGTGGTGTTTGGTGAAGATGAAATCCCTCGTGGGAGTAATGACTTATTAAGCTTGGGGAGTATGAAGGATACAGTTCTCGAAGATATGATTACTTTTGGTATGCTATTTTACTCCGAGCCAAAGAGAAAAAACTAACTCACAACACTTAGCGCCGCTTGTATTTGGCGAACGTGAGGCTGAGGACAGCTCCCCCAGCTCGAGTACAATCTTCAACTCTGTGAACCCTGAGAGGCAGAGTAGCGCAACCACGGTCAAACCGGACCATTCTACGGACAAAGACACCGGTACGGAGGAGCTTCCCGAGTACTATGCATCTGCGTCGAGCACCAGTCTAGCGCCCGAAAAGGGTGGATCGGTGTCAGGACACTTGGCCAAGCCGTCCTTGTCTGACGCTCACGAGGTGGCGGCTCATGATGAGCACGAACCGGCAAAGGAAAAGGTCAAGGAGAATGACCTTGCTCGAGACGCGCCTCTTCCAGCCGAACCAGTCGGTGAAACGCCATTGAAGATCGAATATGGCTCTTCTCATACGCTAGTTCGACATCCCACCGTCACTGGGGACACAGACTTTTCGCCTCGACTTCCTGATATTGATTTTGCTCCACGCCTTCCTGCCAGGCCGGGCAAGTCCATTCATCCGGCGTCTCGCGCCGCGGCGCTCAACCCTCTAGGTTCCGAGACGGAAGCCACACCTCCAGCTCTTCCTCCTCGATCAAGTAGCATGAGTGAGCCGACGAATGAGCCGCCAGCGTTGCCACCACGGAAGCTGGGTACTGGGGCACCATCGCTAGACGTAAGGCTGCCGTCACCGTTACCAGATATGACTTTTCCCAGGACACCCCCGAGTCCGATCCGAAACCCGATCGAGGGCGAGACGCCCACTCCGAACACACCTATCAAGACGGCTCCCTCGGTTACGACGACACCTATTAAAGCAACCATGTCTGGACGACTGAGCGAATCCCCTGTGACGCCACTAAGGCCTCCAATGGAGCGCTCCGAGACAGACTCGCCTGGGACCGCCGAGTTTACGACACCAACATCATCCCCTATGGGCATACGAACTACGCCGTCTCGTACGGCCATGAGCGAAGGATCAAAGGACGAGTCTCCACGCAAGTCGGGCGAGGCTAAACGAACGTGACGATCTTTCCTGTATGACAGATTTTATATTTGGACAATTCATGGTTGAAATCGATCTTGCAGTTTGTGAAGGCGAGTTTAAACAGTGTAATGTAGATAATACAGTTACATCGATGTCTCATATACAAGCAGAATTGAGATGGACTTTGTTGTTTCATTTACAGAGTTTCAGTATGTGGGATCTTGACAACGTCGTCGAGCGTGAGGGTACCATCCTTGAGGTCTTTTTGGACTCCTTCCTCGAATGATATTACAGCTTGCAGCGCGGCGTCACGACCGCACAGGGACATGCTCGAGACTTCCCAGATGTTCTTCATAAGGGGAGTGGCCTTGCGCACACGTTCCATCAGGGGAAGTGTCTCGCGAAGAGGAGCGCCGCTCTCCATAAGACACTCGAGGGCACTCTTCAGATAGTATGCGTGATTCTACCGGGTGGTGTCAGGTTGTTGTTCAAGACTGCATGAGAAACACTCACCTCGTCGTCCTTGGGGAACCGCTCGGCGCCACCCAAATACCTCTCATACGCGGTCCTAAAGTTCTGCTTCTGCGTTACTGGGTTCACGGGGATGGAGGTAATTGCAAGTTGCATGTGGTAAAAGCCGTCGATGATCAAAGCTTCAGCAGTTGGATACAACCAAAAGGCGGCGATAGTTCCTGGTGTGTATTCTTCCTCATCCTTGGGCGGATTCTGCTCTACTTCGTCGAGGATAGCTGCTGCAGTGTTCTTGAGTTCGGCGAGCGAGAAAGGCGAGTTCGGGCCTGGGTTGCTGACCACAGCCTAGGGGACGTTGGCTCCAAGAATACAGTCCTGTAGATCGACTCACCTGATACAATGTATGGAGATACAGCCGCTTGACGCTGCGTCGGAAGGTGGGCTCAAAGATAGGACCTCGCTCAGACGTTGGCACGGTTGGCCACTGATGATCACCCCACGTCAAGAATCGCTGGACCTTTTGCAATAGTTGTACGGCAGTGGCGTAGTCTGGAATCGATCGGAGCAAGAATGCGTGCATAATCCATGCTCGAACGGTCAAGTCAAGAGCAGGTCGAACGTCGTTCCAGCCGCGCATGGCGACACGCTCCCGGATTTCACGCATAATGGTAGCTTCGTCGCCCTGGTTGATCCAGGCGTTGTATTCCATAGCTTCATATTGGGCTAAATGGAATGTTGGCATGTTTTCCGCAATCGCTGTAGCCGACGCACCTTGGTACCCATACCTATCCTTCCAGTCTGGGGTTGTCATATGGAAAGCCCGCTCGTCACGCAACAGACCATCCGAGATGTCAGCCACAGCCTGAATTACTTTGAGTATATGCGCCTAATTCTATGCCATTTGAGCTACTCACACCCAGGCGACCGTATATTGCGATACCATCCGCAGTCTCGTTCTTCTGAAGCTCCCAAAGCGCTTCACATCCCTTTTTAAAGGCCTAGTTCAAATGTTTGTTAGGAAATTCTGGATGTTTTTCGTGTTCACATACCTCGTGGGCTTCCAAGATGATCCAAGCCTAGGACCGAGTTAGCTAGTTCGCAGATAAGGTGGGATACTTACACTTGTACATGTACCACCTGCGGAAGCATCCATGCTCGGACGCATCGCTGAAACAGGTTTCTAGCTGCATCATCAAGACAGGAAAAGACCTCACCTGCGGCCTTGTCCCATGGCATGTTTCCAGCAGCGTTTCGAATTAATAGCACGTCTGGGCCAGCCTCTTTGCGCTGTGCTTCAGCAAGGGCTTGTTCAATCTTGACTTTGCGGGCGATATCGGCAGAAGTTGGGTCAGCGATAGCGTCCAAAATGGTGATGGCTTTTCCGTAGGACTCGTACGCATCCGTAAAACGATAGAGGCCCTATTTTTGTGTTAGTGGGCTAGTATACACCAGGCGTGCCATGTAGAGTTACCAGCTGCGCGACAGCAAGGCGCTCATATCCTCGGGCGTAATTTGGATCAGACTCGACACTCTTTTTAGCGTCTGAAATCGCATCTTCGAATCTATAGAGGCATTAGCCATTTGATCAGAAACAATGCTATGAACTCGCCTGCGTAGCTTCATGTAGGCCGCGGCCCTGTTGGAGTATAATACTGCCCTTTCGTGTGGCTCCAGGTCTGTGTGAGCTAGTGCTCGGGAATAGACTCGCTGGGCACCCTTGGCATCGCCACTTTTGAAGAGTTCACTGGCTTCAGCCTTGAGCGAAGCAACAGGTGCCGTGTCGTGTACAGGTACGCCAATAGCTTCGGCCGTGTCGACTTTGAGCTTGCAAACGGCAACTTCACCTTGGTGCTTGACTTTTGACTTGAGTTTACTGATCAGAGATATACCAGGCATTTCGCGTGCGTGTCAGAAATTATAGAGAGAGTAGAGAGGGGTTGGCAGGCGTTCAAAAGGAGGGGCTGTTCTTGGGTGACGCAAAATAATGCATGGGAACCTGCGATAAAATAGGAATCGGCTATGAGGGTGTGTGGATCATAACGCATGTTCCTTAATTGTAGTCGACGGCAAGTGAGTTTTGGGCGCTGAAACTAGCGATTACGGGATCACGCTCCAACTGGATCCGGTCGGCTCGGCTGTAAAAGGCGACGGGAGGATTTCTTAGCTCGTCTCCCCGTTCTGTCACCACGGACACGTCTGATCATGCGTCACACGGGCCAGCCGCCATGTGGCACTTTCCCCATCGTCCAAGGCTCTGAGTTGTGGCCGATGAGGGTGGTTTATCGGGGGATATCGATGTGGTGCTTGTGTGACATGTAGATAGTTCAATGAACGGTCCACTGGTCGATCACCATACACATAATAATTTACAGTTGGGTGCAAATGAGTCGTTTCCATCACACTTTGAAGAAGGCGATACTTTGTAGAGGAGAAAAAATCCTTATCTCAACAAGCTGCAAAATTTTTCTTAGCTAAAATAAGTGACCTCTACCCGGATTGAACGGATGACCTTGAGGAATAACCATAAACTGGAATCTCACGCTCTACCACTGAGCTAAGAAGTCTTGTAGAATTTATGGGGTTAACATTATTTGCTTTACGCAAGAGGTAAGCTGGCTAGACACAAACCAAAATTACATACTGTATCGACCTCCTTTGTCTGCTTATTTCACTCGTTTCAATCTTCAATGTGAGCGCCCGTGAAAACTGCACCTATCCCATTTTAATACTCTTCGGCACGCGCTCTAAGCACCGTTACATTTTAGCATAGTTCGAGATACCTGTATCTCAACTTAGACAAATAAATTTATACCTATGCTCTCAGACGCAACGTGTTTCAGCTCCTGGTTCAAGCTGCATACGCTCTGAAGGGTACATTTACTTCGCTGTGGTTGTGGTTAGCTCACGTGACCGGACCCCTAAAAGTGGATCGCGCAAAAAAATTTGGTCTGAATTCATCCATCGCGCCCCCTTACGTCCACTTACGAGTCCGGGCGTGTTCCTGCGACGGCCCAGACACAACAACCCACTAGAGCCTCTCTAGACTACGCTACGCTATGGATGTACGTTCACAGGTGGCGAAAGGGTTAGGGCGATTGTACTGATTGTCCGCCCCTCAGCCCACCTATATCAAAAATCTCCACGATCTCCTGGCGCAAACCGTCGCTCCTGACACCAATGTCATAAAAGCCGTACGTTTATGCGCGTCTTTCGCGTCGTACCCACCTCATACGCGCCCTAGGCGACTGCTACTCTAGCTAAAAATTACTGGACAAGTTCAGACTGCATCCCAGCCCTCTTTGAAATCATTACGTCCTCACCAGACCAGAACGTATGTGCGAATCAAGTTCGCGCCGGGCAGGTATTGACCATACATAGATTCGTCAACTTGCCGCCGTAGAGCTAAGGAAACGCGTCAATCAGCATCAAGGTCAACTCTGGGTGAACGTACCCCAGAACCTCCGCGCTGCAATCAAGGAAAGGATTACTCAGATTATCCTCGCTGAGCCAGCGTCAATTGTTCGCCACACCATCGCTCGTGTTATCGCAGCGATTGCACAGTACGAACTTCAAGGAGGTACACAACAAGTCACCTGGCGCGAGCTTATCCCTTGGGTCGAGGGGTCGTGTGTTTCCACCATCGCAGCTCACCGTGAAGTTGGTGTTTATGTGCTCTATACGATTCTCGATTCTTTGATGGATGAGGTCTCTGAGCGTCTCTCTACGTTCTTTGGTCTCTTTGGCAATCTTATTCGCGACCCTGAGAGCGCCGAAGTGCGTGTTACTGCCGTCAAGTGTCTAGGACAAGTCGCGCAGTACATTGACACTCACCAAAAGAAGGAGATTGTAAGTTTAGTTCACTTGTGCCCTTCTATAATACTTAGTTGGTCTAGAAACAATTCCAAGATCTCATACCTGGCATGATTGACGTCCTCTCCGATTGTCTCCAGAACGGCAACGAGGAGGGGGCGCGTAGCGTGTTTGATGTGTTTGAAACGCTGCTAATTTTGGTAAGTTCGTGGTAGAAAAGCCGTCACACGTGCTAACGACTAGTTTTAGGAAACCCCACTACTCTCTAAACACATGCCTGAAATGGTTCAATTCTTCTTGCAATGCGGAGGAAACAGAAATTACGATGGTTCCTTGCGCATCATGTCTCTCAACTCTTTGACTTGGACCGTCAAATAGTACGTCCAAAATCAACATATTAATATTATACTGACACCGTCACAGCAAAAAGAACAGGATACAGAGTCTCAACCTTGCTAAACCTATTCTCGAGGGGCTGATGCCTATCGGAACCGAGGAGGATACTGATGACGCCGACGATGAGTGTCCGTCAAGAGTAAGTACTTGTAGCTGAGGAAAATTCTTGTCTCACACTTTATAGACTGCGTTCCGTGTCATCGACGAGCTTGCGACATCGCTGCCCCCGTCTCAGGTGTTCCCCACCCTCCACAGCATTGTCTCCCAGTATATGGCATCTTCCGATCCTGGTCAGCGCAAGGCGGCTTTGACCGCTTTCGCGGTGACCCTTGAGGGTTGCTCCGAATTCATTCGTCCTCATATGAACCAGCTCTGGCCACTAATCGATACTGGCTTTGCTGACCCTCATCCAGTTGTGCGCAAAGCAGCTTTGGCCGCTCTTGGATGTACCTGCGAATGGCTTGAAGAAGAAGTCGTAGATCGTCACGCTACAATCCTTCCCATTCTCCTCGATATGATCAACAACCCAGATACACAGGGGGCCGCTTGTACTGCGCTTGACGACTTCCTCGAAATCCTTGGCGACACGATTGCCCAATATCTCCCTCAACTTATGGAGCGCCTCTCAGGTCTGCTTGACACGGCACCAACCCCTGTCAAAGGAATTGTCACTGGAGCAATTGGGTCTGCTGCTCATGCCGCTAAGCTAGGGTTCTTACCTTACTTCCAACCAACGATGCAACGCCTACAACCATTCCTGGTGCTCGTAGGTGAAGGAGGGGAACAGGAACTCCGAGGAATCGCTATGGACACTGTTGGCACACTTGCTGACGCTGTAGGCCGGGAACATTTCCGCCCCTATTTTGAGCCGGTTATGAACAATGCCTTTGAGGGCATGTCTCTGGATTCCGCCCGACTTCGTGAATGTAGTTTCCTCATATTTGGCGTTATGGCTCGTGTGTTCGAAGAGGAATTCGCGCCGTACCTGGACCGCGTTGTGCCTGCGCTTATCGCGAGTTGCAAGCAAGAAGAAGGGGGCGAGGACACTGCGTTTGGTAAGTCAAACTTACTAGGCTAAATGCAACGCTAAATTTGCTTCAGCCAAGGAACTCTCAGAACTCAAGAAAGCCACGGGTAACTCTTCTTCGGACGCTATCCCAGTTTCTGCCGACTCGGAATCGATTGACATTGAGGACGTGGATGAAGACAAAGAGCTGGCGGTTAATAGTGCGATTGCAGTTGAAAAGGAGATCGCCGCCGACACCATCGGGACGGTGTTCCAATTCACTCGTAACCATTTCCTCCCGTATGTGGAGCCGTGCGTGCATGAGCTCGTCGAGCTTCTGTCGCATTATTATGAGGGCATCCGCAAGTCTGCCGTCACCTCTTTGTTTGAAATCATCCAGACCTTCTACGAGCTATCTACCCCTACTGAATGGATTCCTGGCAGCGAAGTGGTTCGTATTTCCCCCCGAATATTCAACAGCCACTAATTCTTCTATAGAAAGTGCCCCTGCACCAAAATGTCAAGGATTTAATTACTCACGTGATGCCCGAGATATTTGTCATGTGGGAGACTGAGGATGACAAGTAGGTATAAAGTCTGTTGATCTAGTCTTCTCTCTTTTTACACATGAAGATATTACAACGTTAACTCAGCTCACTTCGATACTCCTATGGAGTTATGCGACGAACGCGTCTTTTCTGACATTTTCCTCTCGGAACCATTCTTTAACGGTGCTGATTGTTTGCCTCTTATAGGAATGTTGTCGCCAACTTGTGTCAAAGTTTGAGTGAGACATTGGCCAAAGTTGGACCCGGTCTTGCTGAAGGACGTAAGTATAATTCCTTGCCTGTTTGAATGATGCCAAATCTGCATACTCGAGCAACACTAGTTGCTGTGAGAGTTAGTCTTCGGACCCCATTCAAGTCACTGATACTGTTCTGAATCGGTATCCATGAGAACAACAAGCTTATTCACTTTGCCACTAGATCTCGAGACGATGGTTCGCTTCGTATCTGAAGTCCTCGAAGGCAAGGCCTTATGCCAGCAGGATCCCGACCAGGATGACGAGGAAGCCGAAGACAACGAGGATCAAGCAGAGTACGATCAGGTACTCATTTCTGCAGCAAGCGACCTGGTTGCCTCGTTCGCTAGCATCCTTGGGCCGGACTTTGCTGTCTTGTTTGGGCAGCTGTTCCCGCTGCTCGCCAAATACTATGTGAGTGACTATCATCATACTTCTCCGGCTGCGTACTGATGATTGTTGAAGTCCAAGAACCGTTCGTTGAGCGAGCGCACTTCTACAATTGGATGTCTTGGCGAGATTGTTTCTGGGATGAAGGCCGGGATAACGCCGTTTACTCAGGACGTGTTTACGCTCATCTCTCAAGGATTTTCGGATGAAGACGCTGAAGTACGAAGCAATGCTGCGTTTGCCATGGGGGTGCTCGTTGAGTACAGTGAAATCGATATGAGCGGGCAGTATCTTGCCATCTTGACTGCGCTTCGACCTTATTTCGTTGTCGCCGATGGTGCTCCACATGCGCAATTCAACGCCAAAGACAACGCCACGGGCTGTGTAGCACGGATGCTGCTAAAGAACTCAAACTCTATGCCTTTGGACCAGGTTGGTGTTCTTTCATCCACCGTTTGACATTTATGCTCACTATATTTGTTGTAGGTTATGCCTGTGTTTGTTTCTGCCCTGCCACTCAAGCACGATTTCCTCGAGAACAGGCCCGTTTTCCAAGCAATCTTCCATCTTTCCAAGACAAACCCCGATGCATTGGCCCCACACATCGATCATCTGCTCGCGGTGTTTGCCTTCGTTCTTGACCCAGAGTCCCAGGATATGATTGGAGATGATATTCGTGGAGAGCTCATTCAGCTGGTCAAAGGTCTTGGAGGCAGCGTACCCGACAAGGTAAACGCCGTTGGGTTGGGTGCGTACCTCTGATTGTTATAATCATCGAGGTGTTACGTTTATTCTCCTTTACGATTCTCTGCTTTGCTTTTTCGGATGGTATCCATTGTTGAATGTGGTGGCTCTAATAATGACTGAAAGAATAGAAGCTGGTTTTTGAAGTCTAAAATTTCAGGTGGATCTATACATGCGCTGAGAAATACAAGCGAATCGGGGCGACATGTCATCAGGACAGAGTGGCATACTGGATATACGCTAGCGTGGTGCCGGCTACCCATGTACCAACGTGCTCCCACCAGCAATCTCCAAAACCTTATAAATTACCTCGATTCCCTCTTCTTTGAATAGCCGTGCTGCTTCGCTGGCGATGTCGTCGTAGCCCCCAGTTGCCAATGCTAGTATTGTAGGGCCTGCGCCCGAAAGACATATGC